AACCATTGATAACTTTCGATCCTTGCATTTAATCAAAAAGTGGTCTTGAACAAAGTTGTAGCTGGGAAAATTTCCTACAAGAACATATGAAAGCTTTCGAAGCAGACCGATATGGTGAATTATTAGATAGACATGAACAAAAATCTTGGTTTTACCATAGTTATTCTCATACAAACTTTAAATGATTTGTGCCATTTAAGTTTCTCACCAAATGGGTTCAAATTTTGAGAGGTTAGTCAGGATCCGATTTGGAATCGTTTAAGTATTGTGGAGCGAAAATTTCAAATTTTGCATCACTCTAATGGGTATATCCTTTACACACTCTCCAATTCATGTTTTCCACCAACGACGGACTGCAGTCCGCATTAAGGTGATACTCTAAGGAAGCCTTAGCGTGAAACTTTAAAGGCACAAATGTCAGCTTCCACAAAACATACAAATTTGAAATTGCTACTCCTTGTTTGCTGTGCTACTACAAACAGAGAGTAGCAATTTCAAATTTGTATGTTTTGTGAACAGTGCTGGTGGTGCCTTTATTGAATAGTCTAATTTCCAGCTTCGCCAGAGCTTCCAGTAGAATATACCCTATTGAGTTGGTACATCTGTTTCCCCACTCCACTGCCTAAGCATTGAAGTCTCTTCCGATGACGACCGGTCTTCGTCGGATCAACTCTTCGGTAAGTCCAACCAGCGTCTCGTAGAACTGCTCTATCGTCCATCGGGTGCGTAGCAACTTTATCGGGAGGGACTCGATACAGCTGTGCAGTGTCGCAATAATTGAGGTTTATTTGAGTTACCTCTGTTATTGATGCAACAAAATAATTAAGAGTCATTTTGAGCGAAATGCTTGCGAATTCATGCTTAAAAACCAAGCGTTCAGCAAAATCTTCAGGCTGACAAAATCGCGAAACACTGTATTTATTTAGTAAAGCTCAATGAATAGTTTTACGAAAGTAAATAAATAAAAAAAATTAAGTTGTATTATGAATTCTTATTATTTTTTCCCTGGGTATGACTTGCATTTTGCTTCTGCTTTCTCATGTGCCCACAATTCCTTTTTTGCGAAGCTTACCGAAAAATTTACATTTTGATTTTTCTAGTAAATACTGAAAAATTATATTGAAAATCCATGAAAATCAGATTATTACTGAGATTTTAAAGAAAATGTGCGTTCTAAAACATTTTTTTCTACATCATGATCAGTGTTCGGAAAATCAACTCTGATCTTGGGCCTCCCAGAGATCAGTGCGAATCTGGCAAACAAATCTCACACTTGAGATTCTCATGCATTTTCACGCACTCACATTCGCAGCGCCAATAAATCATTCCAGCTAGGCCTATAGTCCTCTCCAGGCGGATTCGTATTGGTGCGATTTGCGTGTGTTAGTGAGATGACATTTTTTGTTAGCTGTGAGAAATTTTTTGTTTGCTGTAAGAACTGTCATTCTAAAGTAAAAATAAACAACAAAACGAAAACAAACCCTACGCTTGCACGGTAACAGTCAAATACCCTTTTATGCGTAAAAGTTAACCCATTTGTAATAAAAGTGGCTTTACTCATTATGACTAAATTATTTTAACAACAATGAGTTTCTGCTAACAGTAGCTAACAGTTACTACTTAATTGGCATAATAAATTACTCATTTATTAGTAGTGCCACTTTTATTGACAATAGGTTAGCTTTTACTCATAAATATGTGTTTGATTATTACCGTGTACATGGCAGTATACGCTAGTGTGTGTAAAATTATATTATTAGATTAGTGTTCGTGAGATCCTACTTGGAGAACTCATAAGATGATACATGTAAGAGATACCGAAGCCAGGTTTTTACCACTTTGTTTATTGACATTTAAACTACAAATCGCATTTTTCCGGGCTCCGAATCTCAACCTGTCCGGCTTGCAGCGATGAAAATGAATACACAAATTTGCGTGCACGCCTCCACGCGTGAAATCCTCACGGTGACCCGGATCATCAGAAATCAAAAACAAGTTTCAAACCTTAAAATATATAAGATTTTCGAGGAACCTAACTAGAACTAAGTCAATCGATACTTCGTAACGTGGGTAGATCACCTTTTCGTGGTACGTTACGGGATGTAAGATCTACCACCGATTCCTAGTCCTGACTACTTCAAACTAGGGGAACAGGATTTTTCAGTAATCCAAGGAAATGGAACACATCTTAGTCCTTGTTACTTTACAAGTTGTTGCTTCCCATTACCTTAACATATTATTCAAAACAATCTTCAGATTTTGGAATTAAGAAACGTTATGAGCTCGATCCGGTTACTCCTTTGCGCCTGAAAATGTCTGTTGACCCTAAACATATGCACAATTCATTCTGGTGTGTAAAAGGTTATTAATAGTATGTGGAATCGTAGATTAGAATGAAGATTCGCCCTTTGGCCTAACTCCCACTGTCTGGCAGTGGTATTATGGATAAAATCTGCCTGCAATCATTTCTTATGAATGCAAAGAAGCTTGAACCCGGGTGTTAGAAGGTGACAGCTCTACCGTAGCTACAATAGCCCATTTCAAGAACGCAAGCATTCTGATGCTATTTTCACACATGACAAGCCCCGCTCCAATACATTATCGATGCAAATATACACCATTGATAATGTACTGAAACTTTCAATCAAGCAGTAGTGCAATACTTGATTGACACGTAATTAGTAAGTTTTGAAATAATCGTCTTGAATTAGATGGAAATTTCCTATCGAGGACAGAGGAACGAAAAGGTAAATAAACTTAGCTGAGCGTAGCTACGCATAGGTTAGAACAGTCGGCACTACATGCAACCGATAGGAATTTGAAGATGTTCACTCAATGCAGTTGTCAACATCACCTCTGTACTTTCAAATTAACGCTTTTTAAAAATGAAATTGTAAATTTATAACATTTTCACTAGAACGAAAACGATTCAGCAAAACAAAAACACGTCATTTTCGCAGCGCGGCCTACTTCGATCCTCAATCTGGGAGAGTTGCTCACATTTTCATCACCTCAAACTACAATGGATCTAGAACACGATCCTGAGGTCCACTGCCTGGCTGGTCTTCAGACCTTGCCGTTACGGAGAACTGCTACCATCAAAAGGTTGAGAGATGGCTGCATGCGATCCGATCAACAGATCATTAGGGTTCTGGCACGTTAGGTAAGGCAACTAGGTTAACTAGGTAGAATATTAAATTTTCTAATTAAAATCAACAAATATGCTTTCCTTAAAAGCAAAATGTAAACTATTACAATGTAAAACTAAAATCAAACAGTAACTTGTTAGACATAGACATAGTCATCAAAGATGAAGGGCTTTCGGGCTAAATCAATTGAAATGTACAATAATTGTAAACCACAAGACAATAAGTAAATAAACAAACATTTTAGTAGAAATTAGAGTCGGATGCTTGCGATGAAGGAAAGCATGACCACCCGAGCAAAGTCCAGCATCAAAATGACAGCAAATTGAAATCAAGTTTTGATATCAACATCAAACTGACATCCAAATTTGAATTCAGTTTATGCAATTGACAAATTTGATACCAAATTTTGTTTTCATTTTGCTGTACATTTGCTCTTCAAAAATATGTTGTTGCGGGCGAGGCTGCTGGTTTGTTTTCATAGCCATAGCATAACATCAAATTGAAAACTTGTTTTATTATCATCAGGAAAAATTGATATCAAATTGAGCTTTCAGTTTGCTTTCACTGATAGTAGAAATAGCTTTCAATGTGATGTCACAAGAAGATTTTTCTGCTCTCAATTTTGATATTTTAACCGTTTAAACGACCAAATCGACAGCAACCTGAGCAATCATTATCAGCGAAATCACAAAATCAAATTTAGATTTCAATATGATCTCAGACTTTGCTCAGGAAACCGAATACTTCATCATTTCTCAATAGTGATTGACTAATACCACATGCACTATGTTTAGTGATAAACCGTAATGCACCGAAAACCAGATGGTTCGTTAATCCGGTCATTTCATTTTATATTACATTTAACGAATCAAAAAGACCTCGATAAAATTTACGTGTGTCTGGATTTGTGGCCTAAATGTCCTGATTTTGAGCCACAACGGAAATCTTAGAATTTAAAATTGACAAATTGTCTATATTCGGTGCCAGTCATTTTCGTGTTAATGACTTGGCGTTCTTTCTGAAACTCATGCAATCCCAAATCAAACGATAAATGTCGACAGTTTGTGCACCTTTCACCAACCAAACGATATCTGCCCATCAAGTGTAACAGTCACTTAAATACCTCAATTTGTCATCCACTCGCTTGACCAAAGATCCATTAATATGATTTATTTTCACAGAAGACCATTGAAGCCAAACGTTGTGTTCGTCATATTTTTGTTTTGTTGAACGATTATAACCAATTATGAGCAACAAACGATAACTAATTACATCTCGTTAGATAATCTTCAGTTTTCTTTCACAAACAAGCTTACTTAGTTCCAGGAAATGTGCTTAGTAGCAAAGGCACTGCAAGTTGCCACTTTTCTAGCCGGATCGCTTTCGTACATGGTTTTCCGTTTTCCGCCCCGTTCCCGGCGGAGATTGAATTTTCTTCTGGTTTAGGAAGCGATCTTTCTCTCTCTTCTCGGTTGGCCTTACCGACGACGAAGCCGGTTTTGCCGAGAGAGAATTTTAAATCATGTGTCCAAAATACAGTAAAACAAGTAACCAAAACAGGTAAAATTTGAGCACACTGCTGGGGGAGAAATGTAAATGGTGCTAAAAATATAAATCGATAATTTTGTAATTCGTCAAAAAAAAAAAAATCTTTGGCTACCAGTTGATTTTTATTAAATATTCATCGAATATTTATTTGTTTTCCAACGAAATGCTATGGACAAGAAGCAGCTTCAGCTGAGAAAACCCAAGCCCACACCCGACTCGTGCTCGGTGAGCTTTCGGGCTTTGGGGCGCGAGCTGCCCCCTTCGCATAGGGAGGGTTGTTTTTCGCACGTGCAACTCTGCCCGGGGTTCGGTTTTAATCTATATAAGTAGGGTGGAAAGAACGATCGTCGCGATTATTTACATGTCTCCGGTGAAAAGTGATGGACGTCTGTCGGTCTGGTCCAGTGTGGTGAACGACATTTCGAGTGTTTGAAACGTGAAATTCGAGAAGATCACGTGCAAACAGAGCGAGAGAAGGAGAGCGCGTGCCGTGTGGTTGAAGCGGTCTTGATCGCTGCTAGTTTATTGACTCTTGGATCGGTACAAGACGGCGCAGTTGTGCTTTTGTTGTGGACGAAAACAGTACCGAAATCGATCAATAGCTGCCCGAGGAGTGCAGTGGGTGCAGTTTGCAAGATGAAGCTTTTACTTCTGGTAATTTGAAATCTTGAGTGTTTAGGATCAACGCGGTGGAAAGTGATCCAGCCGATCTAATTGTTGTGTGTGTGTGTGTTTGCCTATTGGACGTAAGAGTTATGTGATGGACTGCGAATGCTTATCGGCTTATGGCCGAAACAGTTTCGCATGATGAAGCAGCATGTGTGAGGATTGTGTAATTGAAGTGGTGTTCAGTGTGAATGGGTATAATTGGTTCAATAAAAGTGAATTTTCCATTTGCCGAGAAAAAAAATGAACTTGTTAAAGCGAATCTGTGTCATGGGACGTGTGGTGTCGTGAGGCAATTTTTGACGAGGGGTTGGGAAATTTCGACATGTTAGCTCTGGCAGTGGGCAAATGAAGGGGATGGTAAATTGGTGGAATCTTGATAATTAAATTGTGAAACCATCAAACGTTATCATAATTGTTTTTATGTGGATGCCATCTTTTTTGTTGCAATCAATTTTTTATTGCAACAGGTGTGTCACATAATTTATATTTAACAGTTAAAACAAACTGTGAAGCAATTATCTATAAACTTCCAACTATTATGCATGCAGGAAAGTTTGACTAAATGGATTCTATCTAAGTGTGGTAAAAAAATTAAAAAGTATTTGTCATTGTTTAATTAACTATACTATCAATGCTGATTGGTTCAGAAGACCGTTGGTGATTATGGATTTTGGGTTTGACAGTGTAGAATCATACAAAACCAATTTGCTGTTTAAAAAGAAAGTTTGAGAAAAATCAACCTTCAGATATCATTAATTTCTAAGCCACGATATTGAGCTGACTATAATTCATTAAGATGCGTAGTGATGAAAAGAAATTTAATATTTTTTCTTCTGATAATTGTGAATTATTTACCGACCATGGGGCCATCACTGACATCTTGAGTATTTCAATGATTTTAAAATTCTAGAGAGCTAATATTGTTTTCCATCCCAAGTAGGACTCTAAGATACTGAAAAGAATTCGAGGTGAATGTTTGTAACAAGGCATGTGAGCTCCCAACAAACAATTGCCTATTGAAGAAACGACTTCTTGGCGATTTTACTTCATGCTTAATAATACTTGTATGTACTATTTTTAATAATAACTTCTGTTCAGGCTTTGTTCACACACAAATCTGGAGAATTTATTCAACCCCAACATCGAAATATTTGGTGTTGAATAAGGTATGTCAAGAAGCTTTTATTCGACTTACAAAAGTTGTAACAAAGCATATTCGATCAAATTTTTGATTATTCAGCGTTTATTAAACATCATTACTTCCTTAAACAGCGATGGTATAAAGGTGTATATAGACGCTTGATTCTCAAGTGAAATAATGTTTAATTAGCCACTATTATACATTTATTAAACGATTATTCAACAACGGGATAATTAATCCGAAAATAAGAACGGGACAGAGCAGGGTTATTCTCTGTCGTTAGTAATTGCTGTGTCATTACTTCTGTCGAAGCACGCACATAGATCCTAGAATATTTATTACATACATACATGTCGTTGGATGGGATTCGAACCATGACCCTTCCGATCACCAGCCGCTTGCCTTGCCATCTGAGCTATCCTAGAATACATCCTATGGGCAGCTAAATAAGTAATAAAAGCTTGAATCTGAAAACCTATCAGCACTCTCAGCCGTAACTCTAGCTAATTCAAGGAAATGTGAGAATGATTAATTCAGTCATATTTGTTTAACATGAGACCAACGTTACCTCTCCATCTCTCTAATTTCGATGGAAAGGATGCTATTCTTTTCAATAGATTTATGAATTGGTTGTAGTGAGTGATACGATCTTTGATGTGATATCTAGAAAATAAATAAAAATAAAAGGCGTAGAAAAAAAAAAAGATTGAGCTAGCGACCTTCTACTTGGAAAGCGGAAACGGTAACCACTATGCTACCAATTTCGTTTTGTTGTTAGCCTGATGTAATGTTGTGGAATAATGAATGAATACGCCGTTTGTAAAGCATTTACAAAGCATGAATTTAAAGCATGGACGCATAGTGGTATAAGAGCTATTTTGCTGACTGTATTCACCTTTATACAGCAATATTGTAAAGCAATGCAATGGAATCTAATAATGGAGCTAGAAAACATTTATAAGACGTCTAATAAAGCATTTTATTAAAGCAATTGAAAACAGTCAAATTGAAGTGGCAATGTATGTGCAAATTACACTTATTAAGTTTATTATTAGATCAAACTTCTGGTTCTGAATCAGGAAGACAGTCAATGTTTATAAAGCTTTTAATAAGTAAATTAATCATATCAGAACAAACGGCGGAATAAAGGCACATCTATCGATCTCAGTGAGCTTTTTTTCAGCACATAATTCGATATCCTGTTTTATTCAGCATTGTACACTGTTATGTAGCATTTATTCAATGTGAGTTTGAATTGTTTGTTGGGCTGGCAGTGCTTAAAAAGGTTATTTGGTTAATTACTGTTTAAAACAAAGCAAAGAAGACGTTGGTGCAGCTTTCTTTTTATAATATTTACGGACATTTGTTTTATTCACTGTATGTGGAGCTGCTCTCAATTTTGTATTTATTTTTTTCTGACAAGGATCAATGTAAAATGAAGAATGGATTGATTGGATACTGTTGCTGTTTGCTAGAATTTAAAATAGTGTGTAAAGGTGATTTGAATCTAGCTGAGCGCTTTTTTAGATCGAAGGATGGAAGCGACGTTTGATGTGAACCTCTACAAAACCCTTTAGTCTAATATTTGCTTCGTAGAAGCTAGTTTACAATGTCTTTCTTCTTTGGAAATGGTTGAAACTCGTTGGTTGAACTTGCTCCAAACTTTCCTTGAAAATAGTGATCACTTTCATTAGTACACTGCCTATAATCACATATCAGTTCCATATTAATTTTCGTAACTTTTACGATCCATCCAATATCAATTGGCATCTACATGGTGATTATCCACTATCAATTGGCATCTACAGGGTGATTCGGAATCAACCTGGTCTATACAAGGTGTGGAATTGATGGCTGTACGTATTTGTGCAGTTCGTTTTTCACTCGGCTTTCAGTCGGCTTCGCACGATTTGCTTCTTTCGTACGCTCAAACACGCTCGTAGTTACGTCATAACATTTGTTTCAATCAGCGTTTGCATTGGAAATTGAATATGAATTATAGAATTTATGAATGTTTTTCCACTGAATGTTGAGATAATGTATTGCATATTTTATTAGCACACTGTATACCATGAAAAAGCAGCCTGCTCATGAGTTTTTGCCCGTTTCCAATTAAGGAGTTACTATAAAAAATACAAAACGCCTGCTGATATTTCTTGTATACTTTACAAAAGCATACAAGCGAGCGCAATCATCATGCAAACATGTCTAGAATTTTCTGTACTTCATATTTCACAAATTTACTTTCGAGTGCAATGACGTCGGGGTCATTCTCTCCCGCAATGATTACCTTTGTCCCTCTACCAGGCATGGAAAATCATTTACATTCATTTCATGCATTCATTTACATTCATTCGCCTCTAACTTTTTTCATCAACAGCATTTCGCAAAATGATGTATTGAGTTTTAGTAGGTTTTGTTATTAGCTACAACTTTTGTTCATAACTCAAAACTGTATCTCTCATGCATCACGAATTAGAGCGGACAGAACTTGTTACTGTTTTTCAGTGAATGTAAAATACATTCACTGAAAAACAGTAGTGGCTTCTGTTCGCTCTGGTTCGTCATGCATAAGAGATGCAAATGCAAATGATTTTCTATGCCTGCCCTCTACCAACACATACGTGAGGACTAGATCTTCACACCTTGTATAGACCAGGAATAGCTATCACTCGCGATTGGAATAGCGAATATCTCGCGATTGGAAAATTTTTAGCAAGAAATTCCTCCAATCAATTTTTGCTTTTTTTTTTTATTATTTATTGAATAAACCAAAAGTTCTGTGCGTTTTGTGCACGAAAATGCGTAATTTTGACATCAGAAAACAAGGCGTTTCCGTGATGTGAAAAATGGGTTCCCCAATATTGGTAGTGGTATAATACCGAATATTGATTCCAAGCATGAACTGAACATACCAGTCCGTACCTATCTTTATGCCCTTTGTTGCAAATGTTAAGCCCCTCCTTTAAAGAGAATTATGCCAAAAGAAAATCTTGCCGAATTTTCTTAATAGAAGAGGCTTAAAATTTGCATAAAAAAGTATAAACGACCAGATTCTTCCAACCCATCGGTCCTTTTCAGGACCACAAATGACTGATAAAAGAGTTAACTAAAGAGTAAGAGCTTGTATCCAAGACATATAGCCCAGGATTGGCTTGTACTACATGGACATCGACAGAGCACCTCAAAAACAGAACTCTCAAATTGCTTCCGAATTTCAACATATCGAACTTTTTCACTGATAACGAGTTAAGAAATCAATTTAATATATACTATACTTTTGCTGTGATATCAAAACTACCTTTTGTAATCCTACGTCTACGGTCGTGTCTTGGATACAACCTCTTAATTTTTTTTGTTTTGACAGAACGTGACAGTGTTGGGATCATTGTAATTACTAGCTCATTTATTTATATTATTTTTGTATGCGACCAACATTAAGAATATATACACTGAATAGATTACATACTGTTGCTTGCCTAAATTCATCTAAATTAGCTAGAAATGTTGATGCCAAAACCGTATGGAAATCTCAATTTTTGTATGAACATTATAAAATGACAAGAAAGCTCATGATAGGTAGTTTCGTCTCATGATAGTGAGAGAACCTGTTTTCTCATTATCACATGACGGCCGTGATATTTAACAGCTCTGGCTCTGATATTGAACGGATTTTTCACGTATGGGTTCCTTTTTACCAATATAATGATGCGAAAAATAAATGTTTCTAAAAGATAACTCATGAATTTATACAGATTTATGACATGCTCCATTTTCACGTCCATGAAAAAAAACGTTGAAATCGAAAATCAATGGAATTTCAAATCCTACTATTAATACAAGC